GCTGAAATTACAACTAAGTAACAACTGAAGCAGGGTCCTTGACAAACCATCATCATAAGCTCCAGAACACAAAACAAGGCTTTGTACAATAACCCTGCAGTGACACAGAGGGAAAACTAAACCGCCAGTGAAAGCCTAAAAAGTGCTACAAGGGCTAATGGAAAGTTATGGATCACCTATAGTACTAGGTTGTTTAATAAACTAAAGTCTCTCCTCCTATTCCCCTAATTTTGGTCTCTCCAGCAAAATAGCTTCCACTTTAAATTCCAGCATAAAGCCTATACTCTGGGTGATAACAAACTCTGGAGCAAATACATCGACTCACAAGGCGCTACTGGCTTGATTAAAATAATACAACTCCTGACAGCTACATTTGGGATCATCTTTTAATCATCACTACACCTGAGAAACCAAATTTACTTTAAAATTATTAGTCTGCTGGCATATCCTTGAACAAATAAATAGGAGAGCATAAGGCTGCAAGAAATTCTTGGAGGTGTTTAGCTTGCTAAGAACTTGTCTCAGTTCACTAGCAGTTTCGTTGTAGATATTTCAACAAATTTGAGTGATTTGGGGGTAAGAAAAGTTAGTGGAAATGGTTTTTCAAATTCAGAAAATGCTTTCTGAAAGAGCCCTCTAAATGGAAACCACTCCATCGTGCAGACCAAAGCGAAGGCTTTTGTACTAACAGAGTCTCAAGGCAACCAGATACCAGATCTGATTTTTTACACATTTATTTTTACTTTTCCTAAAGAAAGCATAAAACCCTTCAAATGATTAAAACTGTTACTCAGAAGGAAATGGCTAAGCAAATGCACCATACAAAAGTGCGATGTACTTAATTCCCAAAGGATAAAATGACCAGCCATGCATGCCCCCTCATTCTCCCTGTATATCACCCAGGCGTCTGTTTTAGTCTAACCCAGTTTTTAGTCTTAACCCGGGTATTAGTCTAACCCAGTCCCAGAACTGGAGGGGTTGGAATGCACCTCTGGAGATCCGTCTGCTCCAGCAGGGTCGCCCAGAACAGGCTGCCGCGACCACAGCCCCAGCACGCCCTGGCGCACAGGGCTATTCCCCTGCAGTGCTGCGAAGGCTTCCGATGGAGCAAGTTCAAGTATGGTAAAAGCCTTCCATCATTCCAGACCCTCACAGGAGAAACAATGAACAAAAGACATTTACAGAATGCATATGCTGTTCCTTAAAGAAAACAAGGACAGCTTTGGCATAAAGCCTAAAGGTATCACATCTGCAACAGGAGCACGACGCCTGGTATTAGGAAAAAAAATTCTTTTCCATTTCTCAGTGTTTCCAGAGAAAACAAGCAACCAACTGTTGGTGACATAATGTCAGTTTAAGTTTTCTTTGGGTTGCGTCTTTTAATGTACTTTAGCAGTTTGCGTTTTCAACATTTCTGCTCATAACAGCTTATGAGTCTGCTCTTTCCAAATACCTCTGCTTTTCAGGAGGTCCTTCCGTGAGTTTTTCACTGATACCAGAGGCAAATGAGCACAAACACACACGCTTTTCCAGCCCCTCTGGAGACAGGATGCCTGGACCAGGACAGTCATTCTTAACTGACAGACGAATTAAGTAGGATCAGTTTAGCTTTCACGTAAGCAATTAAAGCCAGCAATCATGAGGCAGATGGATGTGGTAAAGAAATTATGCAAACCCCCTTACAAATAACTAGGTATATGAGTGAGTAGAAGAATATTGTTTCCTAATTAACTACTTCAGCGGAAAATGAAAGTTACTCTTTTTTAAAAAAAAAAAATCACGGAAAATGAAAGTTACTCTTTTTAAAAAAAAAAAAAAATTAAGGCAACAGCACACATGGACTTTACACATAGAAAATTCAAATATCCAGAAGTCTACTAAATCAGAAATCCTAAGTTCTGCCCCTCTGCATACAGAAATGCTAGAAATCGGAAACAGTGTTTTGTGCCAAAAAGAAATAAGATAGTCCCCTTTCTAGGATTCCAGAGCACATCTCAGTTTCTAAAATTACATAACTTTATGCGAAGCAAATGTTCTTCAGTGACAGTTGTCATAAATTAAACTGAAACACTGCCCAGTGCTACTGCCTGGAATTAATGGTTACAGTAGAAAATGAACTCAGAAAAAGACCCCTCTCAAAATGTACCCAGTTTTCTAGCAGAGCTCATCTGTGGCACATACTATTCTTTTATAAACTAACCAGTGAAAAGTGAACTATGCACAGCAAAACATCCCTGGAACATCTAGAGAAAATCCTTTTATTACTTTCCCACACAAGCAAAGTATTTTTAGCTCTTTCAAATAAAGTTGCAGTGAAGGAGAAGAAAGCCAACATCATGTGATGAGCTGGCTCTGTGTAACATACAAAGTATTTTGTAGGGAGTAGTAGTTAACAGGGTACAAGATGGGACACAAAAAGCAGAGAGGAGTATGATTTTACCACACATAAGATCAGGATATATTTAATTTTATAGGTAGTGACTTCTCAGCTTTCCACATCAGCGCTTGTTTAGATCTCAAGAGAGTACAAACTGTAGCGCTTGGAGAGCCTCAAAAGATGCAACTTCCACCTTGGAAAAGCAGGCAGACATAAGTAGAGCTCCTTCTCCCCACACCAACAGTTTTGAGAGACCTGTGGCACATGCAGAGCAGATGTTCCTGGAGTAACATGTAGGAGTACATGATATTTCCCTTAAGCCAGCTCCACACAAAGTGACAGACTGACTGAAAGGCAGGTGGCACTGCCTAGAAACCAAGCAAGTCCTAAACTACTCTGTGTTTACATCAGGGAAGCACATTTAATTTTGGCAGATGCCCATTTACATACATGTTTTCTTTCTGTAGCCTTCAGAGACTTTGCAGCATAGTAGAAGAGTTGAGTTCCACACAGCGCTGCCCAGTATTTTGTCCAAGATGCTACCTAGAGAGAGGAAAAAAAAATGATATGCTTTGTATTATGGAGCTATAAAATATTTGACATCATTCTGCAATAAAATGACAGCACTGTCAAGCCAAGTCATCATTCTTGCCTTCAATTCTGCTGTTTCTAGTTAGATTCATATAGGCCCACAAATCCACAAAGAATATAGAAAAGCAAAAATAAAACATGCTTTTCCTCACTAATTCAGGATTTTTTTTCTGCATCTTATCTTTTCCTTTTTGCACCCCTTATGGTACAATTCATTGAGCTAAATAATGCAAAGATGGGTGCATTCGATTATATGCACTGCCATATGATTTACTCTTAATATTAAAAACATTTGCAATGCAACTACTTGGAGCTACCACCTATTAATAAATTGTCATGACCCATCTGCCATTCAGAATAATAAAATATGCTCATTCTTTGTTGTAAAGTTATCTATAAGTGTATGCAGCCTCACACCACATTACGCTTCACCTCCTCTTCCTTTCAGAGCCTTACAATCTCAATAAATTCACCAAATAAAGGAATGAGAACGGTGGCAGTGCCCCTAGGCCTTAATCAGTAAAGCAAAGGAGGTTAAGACACTCAGCTTGGTTGTACCAGGGCCATTTTTGCTTCATAGATGGGCTAAGGAAGATGAGAAAATAAATTCCGAAATCTTACAGTAGGTTTTTTGCCTTCTTTCAACAAAGTTTTCCTCCTGAGAACACCTTGAATAGTGACTGCTCCTGGATACAAATGAACAGCCAAATCTTCAGATTCTAGAGAGCTGAAAGCAGCATGCAAAAAAATGGTGTGAAAACACATTTTTCCTAAAGTACTTCTCCAATCATTACTTCAAGCTAATGCAAACATCTGTATTTTAATTTAGAAGTGCCAGCATTTTATTTAATGGATTAAACGGTGGAAAAACACTTTGGCTGTTAAAATGATTGCTCTTGTGGAATTTACAATCACAAGCAAAAGTGATCATAAAATTAATCAGCCAGGCAGGTAATCTATAACTAAAAATAATTAACACTCAAGACCACTAAAACTCAAGAACAATTAATTCTAACTGGCAAACATTCACAGTATATTCATAATATTTTGCATGTGTTAAAGCCTCTCCTTGAGCTCTTACAGGAAAGCCAGTGGTTTTTGTTAGGAATATTGGAATCATGAACACACCAAAGAAGAAGCAAAAGCTCAATCACACATGCACAATTTTAAAAATATCAGAAAGCGAGAACAGTGGCAGGAGCAGTGATAAAGGAGAGAAACCTGAACCACAGCTTTTAGGTGCTTTAATACATCTGGTGCTCTACTAACCCTCCACCCTGCCTAAGGGTCTAAAAGGAAAGCCCCCAAACTGTGAAATGAAAACCTGGTTTTACTGAACTTATGACATTGGCCAGCTTAAATAACATTTTCAGTTAGAAAAGCAATTTACCATAGGAGTAATTTCAGGCAATGCCAGTCAGAACATGCATCTAAACTGCTGGCCCCAGCGGTTTTCTAGGAAAGTTAAGCAGTGTCTCCAGCATGGCTGGCAATAAACCGTGCTTTGCCTTCCACCTGCCCCAGCAGCAGTGTGGATGGCAACTCAGGCCAGATTCTCCGAGCTGCGGCCCCGGGGCACACAAGGGACACGACTGCGAGCGTGTCCCACAAACGGCCCCTGCCAGAGCTGGAGACTGCTTCAACGCACGACTTTTCTCCCCCAAAAACACAGATTAATTAAGGCAGCAGTTAATTAAAACCTGGGAGCGAGGACGAGATCTTGAGTGTCATCCACCACCTGGTGCCACCCAGCAGAGGAGCTCTCTGTGGGAAAACACCTTGGCCTAAAGGTGCAATGGTTCAGAATTTGGATTTGCACCCTGGAACGAGCCCATCTGGCATGGAAGTCATAGAAGAGGAAAGCTCAGCTTTAAAAAAGAGGTCTCTGCCCTTGTTTTGTCACGCAAGTTAGAAAGGCAACACCAGAAGACACCAACACTATTAAACCAGATCACCAACAGCACAGGGAAGGTTTGTGACCTCTGACTGCAGGAGAGCTTGTACCTGCTGGCCTTCATGTGGCTGCGATAGCCATTTCGTGCCACTCTTGTCCCCGGACCGAGGGAATGGTACAACCTGTTCCTGTTGGATTCCATTATAAATTGCACGTATTACATACACTTTTATTCACACAAACAGCATGATTCCTACAACAGAGTAACAACTTTGGTGTGTGTGTCACACAGCCACTTCTTACAGAGGATAACTTTATTCAGAAAAATGCACGAAGAGGTAGATAGCTTTTATCTGAGCTCTTTATCAATACTCTTCATACTGAGGTATGAAATGAGTTTCATATTGGTATGAAAGATCATACTGCGTTTCATATTGGTATGAAAAGATTAGTGTGTTTTTAAGAACAAAATCAGCATTTGCTTGGATTAAATCAAAATATAAAGAAGGGGCACTATGAGAAAAAGCTTTGCTGACTAAAGACACTGGTTGCCCATTCTGTAAGTAGGCCCAGACTGTGGAGCTGACCGGAACTAAAGCAAAGCGTTGAACAACTTGACACTTGGGCTTTCCATCTCCAAACCAATGGGTGATGCCAACAACGCAACAAAAAGCAGGGCTGTCTGCCACGATACAGCAGCTAGTTCCAACATACCCGTCCCAAGAGAAAGGACGACCGCTTCACTTGAGACAGCCTTCCCGCTGCTGGAAGGGAGGGCGCACACGAGTACCGTGGCACGGGCTGCCACCGCTTGAAATGCTGCGGTGGCAGGAACGCCGAGACACGCGCAGCAGCACCTCGGGTCTCCAGGTCTGCAGGCCTTAAGCTGCATCTCCCATCGCAGGCCCCTACGAGGTGGGTATCTGCGTTCAGGGCTGGGATTCCAGTCTTATTGGAATGCGCGACTTGGCTTCGTTCCAGAATTCCATTGAAGTCAACAGAAATACAAATATATACACGCTGATTTATACTGCTCTACTGCTGCCTCCTTTTTATAATCTCTGCTTGTATCATTTGTTTTCTTGAAAGACGCAAAATAAGCTCTAATTTTATTGAAATCAGGTGGTTAAATACAAGAATGGGAGAAGTTTATAGGGAACATCTCTTACACCCTGAACATTTAATAAACAAACTGTCCCGTTGGAGATGTTTTACACTAGCGAGCACGCTGTTCCAGTACGGACAGCCAGTATTTCTCTACCAGAGGCATCTAAGCAAGCAACATTTTCAGGTTTTAATCTCATATCAGAATAGCACTCGCCAGGCAAGCAAAATCCTGGAAAGCAAGAGTTTTAAAGAAAGAGCACAAATATCACAGCATTAAACAAAAGGCACAACTTTCATTTCTCACCAGGTGAAAACACTTTCTTTGCTGAATAGAGAATTACCAATATGCTATGTATGAATTACCACCTACTCATCTTTTCCAGAATAAACCCGACTTCCAGAGATCTTCAAAACATTTTAATACATTCAAGATTTAGGCAAAGCAATAAGAAAACCAAACTGTAATACGAGCAGTATATCTGTTTGCAATATACTTTGCACACAAACAAAATACATTTATTTCTTACCTTTAAGCTTGTTTTTGTATAACACGGAGAGTATGGCTCTGGATTTGAGCTATTTCAAGTCAACCTATTCAGAGACACTAAAGACGGCAACCAACAGGACTGAAGTGTCACCTCCTGTATTACCCTCACAGGATACAACTGCCAGGACTTAAGTTCTAAGTCTCTTATGACTGTTTTTGATGAGCCTAAAGGGACTGCCAGTCCTGAAAGTTTTCTTTCTCCAGTTTCAGAATAAGTTTCCTTTGCTCTTAAAAAATCATCAGTGACTCTAGGTCTCATTCTTTCTGCATTTTCCAGTTACAAACAACAGGAGGGCTTGGAAAATGAGGAATATTTGATATTCCACACACAGAGATTTCCCAGGTAATAAAGTGCACCTCATTCTTCCTGTTAGGCTGTTGCATTGATTTAAGTCCTCCTATCCAAAAACCTTGTTGCCGAATCACTGGGCAACATCATCTTCCCACTCACATGACATAGGAAGTAGTCACTAAGACAACTGGATATATTCCCACTTTTGTTTTAACTGCTATCACCCAACTGATGCTTTTCCTTTGCTTGGATAAGAATAGCAGCCCATTGTACAGATCAAAACTAGGGATGTGCTCTCCTTATCTTAACATACACATTTTGGAGTATTTAAAATCCAAAACATATTTCATGGTTACATACAAATATGTATATACATATTACATATATACAAATACATAAGAACAGTCTGGGGTTCAGTGGTATTCTGGCTCGTCTGCTTAGAAGATCTTGAGCTACAAACAAGCACCCAAACAGAGCAGGCCCTCCTAACCACTAGTGAGCACAAGCTCCTTCTCAGAAACCAGCACTTACCATGTGATCTTACGATGGTTTAATCAATATTGGCTCTCAAATTCTTACACACAGAAGATCACTGACCATTAAAACAAAGCATCATTTCTCAAAGACAGAGAAATTCTAAGCTAATTCCTAATTCCAAGATAAAAAAAATTGGAAAAAAAAAAGCGTTGGATAACAAAGAGCCTGCTTTGGGTGGCAGCTTTTCTTACCTTTCAAACGCTGGCCAGGATGTCTCTTCACTAAGTTCCGAGCCATCACTGCTACCTTAAAGATCAGAACGGACGATACTTTATTTCATGATCAAACTAACTAGTTCTGTTACATCAGTTGCCTTTCAGGATATTAAATGTGTAACAAATACTTCCCTAAAATTTTGGTATCTTCAACTATTTGATTCGCATTTATTACATCAACTCACAAGAGCTTCTTCGCCTTTCATACTTCATGAAATCATCCAAAACGAGGGCAAGTGATTTGTCAACCACTAAATAAAGTGTCGGCTCGGGAAATAACAAATTACATTTACAGTTACAGTAAATACCTTCAGTCTGAAAATTAGCATTTAAATATGAAAAACTATCTGTATATATATAAACAATATACACACGTATTTTAAATATACCTGCCTTTTTTCAAATTTTCTCGAACTTACAATTTTTTTTTAACCAGAACAATTCTAGATACGTGTATACAAAGTATACTTTCAATTAAAAAAATGTTGAAATGAACTTTATAATACTTTTAACCACTTCCACTTGTAAAAGGACACTGATTTTTGTCACAGCATTGTTAACTCCCAGTGTGCAAAAAATAAAGCTAAAATACAGAATGTTAGTATAGAAAAATAGGAGGTTACTCCTATCCAGATCACAGCTGGATGTTTTGAAACCTATCGTTTTTCAAAATCTGTAACAGAAATGTGGCAACAGTTGATTTCTAATGTTTGAAGTCTCCTATGTTTCTTTAATAGCTATAAATAACATTACAGAGTTTTTTAGATTCTAAATGTTTCCAAAAGACCTCCACAACACAAGTTCTGATGCACAGACAAAAACACCCTTCTAAAACAGGCAGAAATTACATATTACATTCCTCTCTCCAAAACAAAACAGAAGTGAAAGAAACTGTTTTTAACTTAGCAGAGGTTAGGTGCTTAGCCAATTTCTGCTTAAACATTAAGTACACTATTTGACCAGCACCTCAACTGGAAATATTTCATTCATTCAGTACTTTAAAAAATATATCACCTTCTTAAATTCTTCTCAAGTATGTACTCAATATTTGTTTTTTCCCTTGACAACCTCAAGCAAGTCTTCAGGTTAAACTTAATAACACATCCTTGGTAGTTTAAATCCTTTCAATTAAGTAATCTTTTATAAAACTTGCAATTTTTCATTAGGAACCACTTGGCACAAGACAGTTTTCTTGGTTTTCTTTACAGAAAGAAAATTAAGGATCACTTCCATGTGCTTAAGACAAATTGGAATTGTGTTGTTCTCCACTACTATCTGACACAAAGGCTTTTTCCTGTCGTAGAAATGGGGTCCATTGGCACAAGTGGTTTTCACGAAGGATAGTGCAGATCTTTTGAGACTTTCCAGGCTCTTTTTTTAAGGAGGATTTCTGGTGCTGTGGCCGAGCACAGCACTTGGCACTTGTGGAGGAGCACAGGGAGCGCGGGCGCCCGGCACGGCGAGCCGGGATCGTCCCCGGCCCGCGCGCGCGTTCCCCACTGCTGAGAGCCGGCGCCGAACACAGGCTGCCTTCATCCGCACGCTAGTCCCCAAAGTTCAACAGGTGTTAATATAAACAAACCAACCCCCAAATGCTTCAAAACTATTCAGACCAAAAATTCTTTCCCCGCTGCGCAACCAAACCTCTTTTGGCTCCAGCTTTATGGCGTTTTCAGAGTGCTAGTCACTACCTGGTCATCGACCCAGGACAACTTAAAATTCTAACGTGAAAAGCCCAAAACTGGTCAGTAGGCCAGATGAGAAAACGAGGAGGCTGTATTGACACAGCACAGGCCTCCCGAGGCCAGGGAGACGGAGCCCATCTCCTACAAGATACATTATGCCCTGTTGAGCCCACTGTTCTACCAAAAAATCCCTGCAGGCGTTTTAACTACTGCAGTACCATTTAGCTACTGTACAATAAAATTTCAATAAGCTCAAGTTTAGCTTGCTAGCCAAAAAACATGGGGTGAAGACTGGCAAACAGCTCAAAGAACAAGCTGCCTGAGAACCACCACGTGTTAACAGCACCGACGGTTAAAGAGTTGCAGAAACCAGAAGTGTGTAACTGGGTGAAGATGGGGCAGAAATAAGGGGTCACAACGGCTGCCCAGATCTCACAGAGGCCCCTTAATAATCTGGCTAATAAAGACTGAGAAAGGAAGAGAATCCTAAAGCCCCTGTGCATAGCCCTCTTTTTGCCTCAAATCTATCCATTTTCATATGCATTTTTCAGCCTGAAGCATTGAACGCTTCTTGAATTTAGCCTGCCACGAATAAGTAGTTTGCAACAGCAGGGAAGTTAAATAGCAAGCATTTATGGACACATTTAAACAGGATTTAAAAAGCCTTCCCTGGGCCTGCAACCCTACCACCTCTTGGATCTTCCCAAGCAGACGGCTGACGACGTGGGGTCCTCAACACCCAAGCCCTGCTGCACAGGGCAAGGAATGAGACAGGCGTCGGCTGTGCGGAGCTCTGCACCAAACCTGTAAGCACATGTACACATTGCACCTTCACTTGCTAAACCAGAAATACAACCCTTTCTAGAATTCAGGTACTCTGACAGGGTGGCTTAATAGAGTAATTCATCAAAATGCTGATTTTCTTGTAAGCATTTTATGCCAATTAGATTTGAAAATGTACTGCTCTTAAGGGGACTTCAATTAATTCATTTGGATTTAAAATACCTTTCTTTGCATCTACAGCATTGTTTTTTCCATTCTATTAAAGATTCAAGCAAATGCTCAAGGGCTTTAGTTTCTCAAAACCTTCATCCATCTTGTTGAAGTTAAAGGAATAGTCTAAAAGAGAAAATACTCTAAAGTCAGAATTGAATCTCCACCCAAAATAGTAAGAACAACGTGTGTTTCCTTTTCTCCTTTTTTTTTTTTGAGTATCTAAAACTTCCTTCTTGATGCCAGGCTGAGCGTGTGCAGTCATACTTTTGCATGTACAATATTTAATAGGTGTTAGATTGAAATCTTAGAGAAAGCTCTTCAGCAAAATAATCCACCCAGCATACTGGATGCAACATAGGGGATTGCAAAATAGTGGAAAACCTACAAGCAGCCTCAGGTCCTTGAAATTAAGAGCAGCATCTGGCAAAGATATTTCACTATGGTTGTCTTGTTACAGGGCCCTATTTCCAAGTGATCCCATATCCTGGAGGGTTTCTGCATTGGTGCTGCTATAGGAATAATTCAGTGCGAAAATTAGTGTTCTTAATATTTGAAAGATCCATTATACTGTCATAAAAAATGTACTATGCTATGCCCTACTATGGCTCAAACTTAGTACCATAATATGTCCATCACTCCTATACATCCTTGCAGTTTGCAAAGAGAAGCAGGCAGCTAAATTAACCACTCTGTTTTAGCATGCTAATATACAGAAGATAATTTCATCCAGCCATGAATCTCAAGTTTTGTGATGCTGTAACTCATCTGTATCAGAGATTAAAAGTATTTGCCACAGAACTAACTGAAGAAATGCAAATGGAAGTGTCCATATGTATCTGAGCCTAGTGTGTCCACTGGTGGAAAACAAAAAGAGGAATCTTCATTAACATGCCTGTAAATTGCTTCACCGAAGTAAATTAATGTTCTTAGCTATTTGTTAACAGCAAACTCTGGCACGAGGCTGACAAACACACAAATTGACAAGCTCTCCTGATTTACAGAAAGCATCACAAAGACACAGCGCTGTAAAAATCCTCCTACAAACTCTTCTTACAAGCCTCAGTATTTCACATTTGATGTTTAGACAGACTGTATCAGATCCTTCAGCAAGAAAAGATCAGAAAGCTCTAAAACAGCCCTTAGAACAGTTCTGAGTCTTTTAAAGTAGCAGTAGCGCATAATTACAATCACAGTCAAGCTGCTGGCATGTCAGTAATACTAGCAAGGTGTTGAAGAGCGATCGTTTATCATAAGAACTTTCAAAACAAACACACAAAAACAAGTATGAAAGTGCCCTAGATTTTCTTCCCCATCCCTGACTTTTCATACCTACATTTCTCAAGTTTGCTCTAAAATGGTGTTTTTGAATAGTATCATTGATAATCTCCAAGTATAAAAATCACAATTAAAACTCATTTGCTGCCCCCAACTGTATTTACAGTTCCTACCTATGGAAATCCCACTGGAGAGGGTGGAGCTTTCGGCCTGCCCTCTGGAAGGAGCATGAGGTTCCATGACACTGTCATCCAGTAGGTGCCTTGGTCCTGCATTGGGGAATGTTGCACTTTTAAATTCGGCCGTATTCATTTTGTGGATGAAACTGGAAACAAGCAAGGAGAAAATCGGGACCTAAAATGATTGTTTCTTATACCTGTCTTAACACTTACACAATTAAACTTTGCACTTTCATTCCTGTTCATAAAATGTTAAGAGCTGAATTACAAAATATCTACAATCTTGCATTTTGGAAAAGCGACAAAAGGGCTGATGATCAAAATATCAGAATTATTCCTAGTTAGAAAAAGAACTAAAACCAGTATTTTAGAAACTCATGTAATAACCTATATCTACTACCATCACTATAAAAACAGAACATCAGCAAAATGACTACTTTGAATGAGTTGCACTGGAATTTAGCCATTAAGTTTTATCATCTGAACAGTAAAAACAGAAACAAAGAAACTGCTCCTTATGTAAGATCACATCACATCAGCACTCATGACTTATGTGAAAGAGGTTGCTTCTTCTTCAATCCTGCAATGAAGAGATCCATGGGAGAAATTTCAGGAAGAGCAGTTTTATAAAAGACAGATTATAAGAAATCACAGCTCATTTCAGAAACAGGAACCCGAAACATCTTGTGTTTTGTGAACTATACTTGTTGTCACAATAGCCACACAGACAATTTTAAAAACTTGTCTTCGTTTGGAAAACTACTGTTATATTCTGAGCTTGATTTCTTCCCAAAAATTGGACTTTAAGTGAAATACTGTATATAAACAATACTACTTTTTTTCAAGGCAATGCTTTTATATTGAAAGATACATAATTTGCATCACAAAATTTAGGATTTTTAGGTTAAATAAAATGCTGACTTGTATCCCAAACTATGACACTTCCTATGCCCATGGGGTATCAAGTTCCTCGGTGAAGGAGGTGTTGGTGGCAACAAGGCTCCTTCAGCTGCAACATTTTTCCGTCCACTTTGTGGAGATGCTCCAACTTCAGAGCCTGAGAACAAACGAGAGAGCAATTCTAAGACCATGCAGAAGTAAAATCTGGGTTACTTCTACGAAAACTCTGGGCGAGCTGCACAAATAACTTCCTAAACTCAAATGGCAAGAGATACCGTATAGCCTTAAAACTCCCTGCTATAAGTGTAATATTTAGAAAAAAACGTATTTGGTCCCTTTTGTGCAAGATAAAACATCCTCAAATTGACTGCAATAGCCACACTGACAGTAAACACATCCTACTGATCTTCATATTCTGAAACACCTATCTTCAATCACTTCAGATATAGATGAAAAATAGCGTGCATCTTTGGAAGGATATTATTCTGATAAAAGGTTTAGATGAAACTGCTCTGGCAGGATGTCATTCCAAGAAGAGGTTTACATGAAGCTGTTCTGCCTAGACAGACAAACTGGAGTATTAATAACTCTTCACTCCAAAAGATGTTGCCAAGTTAGTGCAACAATACACGGGAACCTAAAAAGCTGATCCAATTCCTTGAAAAGAGCTTAGATATCAACTTTAGAGTTCTAGTACCAATACACAGTGCTTACACTTCACACCTCTTTGCTATCCTCAAGCAAATATCTTCTCTGTTCACAACTCAAAAATAAAGTGCTTGACCAGCTGAAGTCTTCTCATAGTTATTAAGCATTTACCTACTAAATCTTCTCTGGAAGCAGCAGAATGTGGGGTACTGGTCCCTGGTTCTATCTTTAAGGAAAGCCTGCATTAAAGAAGCAATAAAAATTACTTTATGAAGAAATGGATACAAAAGTACATTTTTTGAACACAATTTTGAACTTTTGTTTTTGATTTATAATTGAAAGCTTCTTGTTTCTATAACTGCAAGAAACATTGTGAAGTTAACACAAAACTTCCACAGTTACTATCTTCAATATATAGTATTCTTAACTTCCCTCCCTCCCCTTTTGGGTGAAAAAATACCTCTGAAGATACCTCTATCCTAGCATAAAAACCCAAACTGTCCACCACCTTGGCAAAAACATTTATGCACTATAATTTTTGCTTTGAACTTTTCTGCAAGGTAATAAAAGCATGAGCACATATGCGCATGGGCAGCCTTCTGCTGCCATTACTATTCTAAGAAAACAAAATCCTTCTTTGAGGCTTTGGAAAATACATAATCAGGCTGACTGGGTCAATGATTTAAGCTTTTTCTAAAACAGTTCAGCGTTTTTCAATGCTACCTCCATTAGTGTCGCAAAGGGGTAGACTGCTCATCATGTAACTCCAAAAGAGACCAAGCATGTCTTGCTAGCAAAATGTGCAGAGCTAAAAGCTTTGGATACAGCAAGTTCAGAAAAGCACCTCTTTTAACTTTTAGAAGAAAAAGCTTAAAATCTGACAGCTCCTCTCGCTCATTCCCAGACAGTTTTGTGCAGATTCATGGCAGCTTTAAAGTTTAGCTTTCTTAAATAAGATTCTTGAGCAAGACAAAACAGCAATTCAAGTCACAGTCATGTTTTTCCAACTCCAGCCTTTTCATAAACGCCTCATGAGATAAAAAGTTCTTCTCTTGTGGTAACACTGTTTTTTCAAAATACACTGTCCCCATACATTTTGCAGTCTGGGAGGATGCATTACTCATAGGTGTAAAATCAGGTTTTAACAGTATTCCTGCCACTGCATTACATGCAACTGTTTCCAGCCCTCAGACCTGGGGTTGTACAGGGTGAGGTGGCTCCTCAGCAACACAACTCCCACTACTGTTGATTCCCAGTTGGTGAAGAAGAGTGGTTTGTGGGATTCATGAAGACTATATCCCACAGAGAACCAGCCACCGCTGCCAAGTAACATTTTTTGCTTCAAATGGTTAACCGTGGAGCTTTACTCTCAGGAATAAGCACAGAGTGATTTTAGAAGCAGCCTATCAAACACTGCAGCAAGAAGCTAAAGCTCGATGCCTACACATCGGGGACAAGTGCCGCGCCAGAGGACCAACCACCCTTGAAGACTGAGCCTTGAGAAGCCGGCAGCTTGCGCCCTTGTTACCTGCCCTCTCACACAAACTGAAGGGTGCCTATTTGCCGCCATCTCATAAACTCTAATTAGGGCTACTAAACGGCAGGCCACCGTTTATAAATCATTGTTTTCACAAAGATAATCTGTTCCTTCAGGGTGCCTGCCCTCCCACCGCTGGAAGGCGGCTATACAAGCAGCTGATTGAACACCACAGTGGTGGCAGGAAGGGTGAGAAGCTCCTGGAGCGGCTCAGCCAGGGAACAGGCTCCTGCCTCACGCGGCAGCTCCACATCAGCCCCTCTCCTGCCTCAGCGCTGCCTCCCGCCACACGCGTCCAGCCCTCAGCTTTGCTGGATGCCAAATCACTTACCAAAATAATCTGAGACCCATAAACTCTTGGTGCAAGTAGAGACAAAGTGACAGGCTTTTTTGTTATAAAAGCTACTTCTGCTAAAGAATTAAGTGCGTTGCAGCATTTCATACTTACTTGTAATTGTCATCTTCTACAAACTTCTGCAGCTCTTCTATGTACTGAACTGAGTTCAGATACTTTTGGACATGAGGCAACAGAGGAATATCTAGAGAACAGATGACAGCTGTAATGACTGTACCGCTCACAGGCGAACACTGAATTACCTTCTAGAATGTACTTATAGAGAACCAGCCTTTCCCGCATGAGATGTGCATATTTATCACATATATACAGTGTTGAAATTCATGCTTTAGACCTTGGGATGCAAGGGGTGGTCCTGACCTTACCAATGGGTCAGACCTTATTAAGATAATGTTACAGAAGGCAAATATTAATACTTTAGAGGTTACTCTGTTTAATGCTGCAAAATTAACATGCTATCTTACCATATTCACAGGACTGCTGCAAATCGGAGATAATTCGAAGTATGTTATTCATTAAATTTGTTCTTTGCTCACTTTCCAGAATGCTTCCTGTTGATGGGTATGCAGAATCAATATATGTCAAGTCTGAGAGATAAATACCTGAAAAAAACCCGAATTCCTTTATTTAGTGTTGCACATTTACCATAAAGGCAAGAAGTATTGTGGAATTTTTGCTCTCCTTGACTAATGTACAGGGAGATTGATAACAGTATAGCCTTGCTGTGTTACGTTTTATGTATTTGGAAAATAATCTCAGTAGGATCTCCAAGAACTTCTGCACTTCAGAATAAAAGAAGAGTAACTATGCTTGGATTTATAGGAGAGTGCACCACTCCTTTCTGGAGGGGACTTCGTTTGACCTTCAATTTTGTCACCCTTGTCCTGGCTGTATTTGCAAGTGCCATATTACATGTGCAGCTAGATCCAACAAATCAGAACAGGAGATGGAGACTCCTTCTTTGCATACATCCTACCAGGCACGTACAATCAGACTTCATCTTTGACAGCATCACTGTTTCTAAAGCTGAAAGCAATTATGAGCATATATGCAACTGCTCATAATTCCTGAGCTTGTCAGACTACCAATTCATCATTCCTCTGACAAATGTGAAGCATATTAAACAAATTGCTAGAATACAGGAGTAAAATTACTAATAAATTTATGCAGTTGCTATTGCTCCAATTCAACACATTTCAAAAAGATAAAACAAAATAGAGGAGAAAGACCTTATTTCTAACCTTCCAATGTGAATAGAAATAGAAAAAACTCTATTTGCCCTAACACGGAAAATTATATCCATGCAAAAAGTGAACTTAGACCGAAACGTGATACAACTTATGAAGTTCATATTAACTTTAGTCACTAAAATCCCATGGGCTTAGATATAGCTTTTCAAGTCTTCTACTTATTTCTTTCCCTCACACCTCTGTAGTCTTACCGTTGTGCCAATCCTTTGGCCACATGGAAAACAGAGGAAAATCCTCGTCCTTTCATATTATTGCCGTAAATAGACTGCTTATAATTTTATCTACTTTGAAAATTTACCCATAAAGTCTGATCATCTCTTGTATCAAATAAATGAAGCATCTGTCAACCAACTTCATCATTGCAAAGGAAAACTCTTCTCCTATAACCTCCACAATACAAAAGCCTTACATGACTTAAAAATATCCAAACTCAAATGATATTTTCAAGAAGCTGTTATTAACCTAATCCGGAATTTCTAAAACTATTTATATTTTTCTGACGTAAGGTTGTATAACCAGAGTCATAACAAGAAGTTACAGGTGGAAGAGAATGAACACAACCTCACCAGAACAGCCTCACTAGAACAGCTCTTGTGTTTGTACAGCACCAAGCCAGTAGGTTCTTGAAACTGAAACTCTGGGCATGGCTCCAAAGTCAACACATTCATGTGCGTGTGCGCACACACAGAGAAACAAATTAAAATACTTGTGGTTGAAAGGTGGCACCAAAAAAAAAGTGAATAGAAAGGTATTACACATGACCTGATATACTACCACATTTTTCAATCTCGTATGCTGCTAGTAGTAGTTTATTATAAAATAGAAAGAGAGATGAGCAATGCATTATTCACATTTATATTCTAATGCTATCTGAGCTGTAGAAGCTGCCTGGAGGCCAACTTTGCTAGTCAGTGTCCAAACGGCCACTAAAATGTCCCAATCTTCCATAGAGAGAAGTAAATCATGCTTAATATTTATGCTTAAATTCATTATGAATATGCTCCTGCAATATTATACATGATTTTATAAATTAACACATTCATAGGATTATCCTTCTGAAGAAATTCTTTAGAAGTAGTGGGTTTTTTTTTTCTTTTAGATCAGATCTTTTTTGTAGATGGCTCTTCTCTAGAATGATTTCATGCAATTCTACGAAATCTAAGCGAATGTTGAGAGAGCACAACGGTAACTCGCAAATGTAATGGGCATCTCCTACATAAAGGCAAAGATCCAAGAAAACAAAATGGATGTGCTGAAGTGCTGGCTGAGGACTGACAGAGCTAAAAGCACTGCGCTGCATTTCCCTTAGGGTGCAATCTCTGTGACTCTGGCTACTTCTAACACTAATCAGATGTTCTTGAACAGCCTCATACTACCCAAAGGCATCCCGCGCGGTTTTAATGCTTTCCACATGTCCCGGCAGCTTTAGGAGTTTAACAGCTGCGACTGCTTTTCATTAAGCAAACGTCAGGACCCGAAGGCGACGTTCAGCCCAACGGTCCCCGAGCCTCCAAACGCGCTGTTTTCCCTGTTGTACCCAGCCTGCCTCTTTTATTCCCGGCGACACAAACGGAGATTTATCAGCCTGAAAGATTCTTTCTTCCAGCTGAAGCCCGGTACTGTAACAACTTAAAAGGCCTCGTTCGGCACCCCAGTAAAAATGTTTGATTTGCAGTCGCCTGCTGCCGGAGGGCAGCGCCTGCTGCCACCTGGTACCCTCCCTGCGAGGGGCACACAGGCTGCCTTGTTCCCCGCGGCCGCATCCCTACCCCCTCCGGAGCGAAGGAGGAGTTTGGTGGGCGGCGCTGACATCAGTGGGGCCGAGTGCGCCAGAGCCGCGGGCGCGCGCGCCGGGCCGAGCTTAAAATCCTCCCTGTGCCGATGTGATGTACACGGAACCTGGGCCCGCGGGCAGGAGGGGAACGCCGCAGCCTCTGCGCTGGGATAACACACACCGGCGCGGGCAGCGCTCTGCAGCAGCCATGTCCTTTGCTTGGTTAGCGCATGGAGAAGCCCGCTTCCTCAAGGCGGTTTGGATCTAAGGGAGAAGGACTGCAGCAGCTCGCTGCTACAGCCGCGGATTAGCAGCCTGCACCATCAGGGAGCATAAGACACATCTGCAAGTTGGCCTCTGGATTTTGCATCCACTCCAGAAGTGAAACAGCTGCAGGATTTTTTCTTCTTGGTAAGTTTTAAAGTTACTCTTACTTACAAGTTTCATTAGGAGCCATTTACACCCACTCCATCACATGCCTATGTCCGTGAGCAGCCCCAGCTCTCGGCCCCACAGCTATCTGACAGCTAAAAATACAGAACTCACTCTTGGGGAGTTTGGTAGACTCTGGGAACTTGGGAAGAGCTTCAGAGGATTTGCGTGGGAGCAGAAACTCCCTCACTTCACTGGTAACGATGAGCGAGTCAGAGCTGTTCAGCTGCAAGACTTGTATGGATTTGTGCTATACACAATTAGCGAAAATCAACACTGCCAGATTCTTTGCTGAGCGCATTATTGGGGTGGTAAGAATATAAGGTGAAATTCTGACCCCACCGCAAAGCAAAACTCCAAATTCCTCTTGACTTCAGGGAAGGCAAGGTTGTGCTCAGAGCACAGACCCAGCATTACTAGAGCTAGAAAATGGATACCTCCTTAAAACCACTAAAAAAATCCCAAGTAAATCCATGCTCCATGCACCTCTAAGTAGTTAATCAGCGTTTCTCTCTGCAACTGAAAGGGTTTTTTTTTTTTTTTTAAATAGGGACTTCTAAGATTAAAATCTTCGAAAGCAGCCCAAGCTGCTTTGGAAAAACTAACCTATAATCGCACACTGGGTCAGAAAAATCAACCCTCTCCAAGCGATTGAAACAGATGCTAACCCCTTCATGGAGCAACGTGGAGAATGTCAGGGGAGGGAACAGTACCGCCGCTCTGCAGCAGATCCACGAAGAGGAGCTTCAAAACAATGAGCGTTCACAGCTGAAGTTGTGGTTAAAGTGGTTTACCAGCCAAACAATTGACGGGCTTCATAAACATGAAGTGCAGCATAGAAAGCATCAGTGTGCTAAGTGGAAAATAAAGTTTTTGTTACAGTGCTTTGGGGGCAGCGGTGAGGAGGAGGGATCCAGTTGTGAGCCAAAACAAACAGAAAGCTTTTAAAAAAGCCAGAATACAAAAAGCACAGAGAGAAACACCCCCCCCCCCAAAATTTAAAGAGCTTTTCTGGTGTATGCCCTTCCTCATCTTTGAAAGAACACCACAATACATAAATTGAAAACAATGAAAGAGTAAGAGTTACATATTGGTATTAAACTCTCGGGAAACTGACAAAATAAAAGAGAAAGAAAGGGTGACAGTAAGGAAAAAGACACAAAGCGTTATGAGTAAGCAAGCTTAATTAAAATTTAGTATTTATGAAAAAAAGCAACAAGGCAGAGAGAGAGAGAGAGAGAGAGAAAGAGAGAGAGAGAAAGAGAGAGAGAGAACCCATCCTTCTGTGCTTGTCTCCATATTCTAGGGAAGAATCTAAACAGACAAAAGGAACATCTGAAATCTCCTCTGTACTTTGGCCACCAGGCTCTCCTCAGTCACTGTTAGCCAAGCTTTTGCTTAGCATTACACTTAGAACAATTCCTAAATCTTTTACAAAAAAGGCTGAGTCAATAACATTAAAGAAAAAACATCTCCATGCAAGAATTTAACTCCTACTTTGCCATCTTCTAAGGCAAGTTCAAATGTTGAAGTGATAATTTAAATAAACGATAGACTATTACTGTTAAGCTGTTGCCAAACGAAAAATCTGAAGCATGAGGAAAAGTTTTACATGAATTTTGGTCTCAGCATAGAAATCCTGAAGTTTAACTTGCACTCTTTGCACTCCTATTTCCAGTATTTTTTACAACTTTTAATTTATTGCTCATACCATCCACTATTTGGTCAATTTTTAAAATTTATACAGCAGTGAATGAAGCAAAGGGTACCACTGCTCAGTGTCTTCCATACCTGTCTCATAGGGAATTCTGGGGCACTTAAATAACTCATCTCTGAATACCAAACACCCCTGGCTGTTATTCTGCTTGTTAAAATGCTGCATATAAACATAATGAGATCCAAAGAATGGAGAGACCCCTCCAGCTGCCAAGAAGCCCTAAGAAGTGCATAAAACTTCACAGGAACATGAAGACATTGTACTATACTTTCAAAACATTTGGTGTGGCAAACTTTGCAATTCTCACAGAGAATTTCTATGAGTTCAGCTTAAGAGTGACACACTTCCAATGTCTACTTCAAAAGCACTTGAAGATTTTTAGATTTCATTTTCTAAAATGAAGCAGATTCCTCTTAATATCAGAACATTCCTGTTAATATCAAAAGTAAAATTCTGTGACTCAGTACACTATACATCTGCCCAAGAAAACCAAATCTATTATTCCTGGTTCCTACTCAACACAAATGTAAGTAATACTGTTATTTTACCAATAGCAGAGAGACTCGCCAGGAAGAGACATATTTATACAGGGCAAAGTAATTTATAGAGTACACAGATACTGTATCATCAAAAATCCATGTGAACACTTCTCCTACAGTAGCACTGTCTCCACTCCAGTAAAGCCTCTGAGGTTAGAGACACTGCTTAAAACTAAAAAATAATAATAAATAAAAGATGGAGATGGAGACATTTATTGGATAATTTTGTTGATTTTACTCGCTAAAACAAACTTTTAGAAGAAAATGAAAATCTGCATAACAAGAAAGTCGATGATGTGGTACCATATTCATAGATGCCATGGAAGCATCTTTATCCTCAGTGGGATCACTTCTCTTTGCTAAGAAACCTGGCTGTTTCTCTTCCCGTCGCATGCAGCTGGAAAGGCAGGCTCACACCGAGGGTGCTCGGTATTTGCCATTTCGCACAAATGCTCCGGATGAAGACACGCACTGAGCTGACGCGCTGCACTTTGAGGCCACCGGGTAGAAGGGGCCTTTGTGGGCTCGGAGAGAACGGGTTTTCTGCTCCGTGCTGCGGAGCTCCACGTTTTATGCCTTGACTTGTCAGCCACGGTATTTCCACAAGGAACAAATAGCTTTTTGTTTAGACAGCTAAAACATACCGCTTTTTCGGATATTACACCCCATGCTATAATAGATTTTCACTGAAAGCTTTACTTAGCTCTTAAGCAGAATTTTGTACCTTACTACTAATAGCACTTTTCTAAAGTAAACGGTCAGAGTAATTTTTGAAATATATTTTTTTTGTATTAGGATCAGCCTGAAAAGAAAAAAAAGGGGGGGGGGGAGGAAAAAAGGAATGGTATTCGGCTTAAAATGGTATTGAAGCCCTACCCCCAACTTGGAAGATTTTTGACATAACCAATATGAGGTTTTCTGTGCTGACAGGAGCAGTACTGAAGTTCCTTCCGCAGATGCAATAAAACAGCAGCACGCCAGGATGTGTGCAACACCCCTCTTCAGGGACATGTGCTTTTGTGTTAAAACAAAGGGTTAAATGGGCTATTTTTCCCCACAGCCATTCTGTATTTCAACGAGGGTACTGGATCTTTAATAATAATGACCAGAGATTCATAGGTTATTCACACAGGTTATTTTGGGGATACAAAGAAGCTGTTACATGCTGAAAGCAGGAAGAGTGGAATACTCAGCTCCCACTACAGTGTCATCCTTAGTGTGTCATGAAGGTGCTTTCTCTGCCTGGGAAAACATTGCACATAAAACACTGAAAAAAAGTTTAGAGAACACGTAGAAAGTGAAGTCCAGACAGTTAACTGAGCTCTTCTCTGTCAAGCTGAGAATCACCCAATACTATTTCCCATGTTTTACCGTGACTCAGGCAAAAAGATGATTCATAATGTAATGAATTTCCAACAGAGCACTGCCAAGTGTTATTCAAAATGTTTGAAACTAAAGAAAACTACGTAATTGTTGCGCCAAAAACAATGCTCCAGTGTTTTCATACAAAGCATACATTTTTTTAGTACTGGCCTGCGAAAGGTAAGCAAATTGTTTTTGAAAACACTATTTATCGTTATAAGCCCAGCAGCGGCTTATATACCAAAACAGTTATTACATACCAGCAATAAAATACACAGGCATAAATGTTTAAATATAAATACATTTTCTTGACCTTCTCTGTATACTTGCTATTTATGTCAAGTAAGAAAGAGGTTTTGATATGTGTTAAGAGCAAACAGCTTCCCTTCCTCCCTGAGGCAGAACTTGTAACACGACTGCCAGTGAAGACAGGCGCGTTGTAGACAACACCAGGGCGTCCAAGGGACACTCCTGGGCATGACGGCCCAGAGGGGGCTCCCAGCCGCGCTCAGCGGTCAACCACCACCTCAGATCCATTAGCCACAAGTTAAGAACATTCGTCTTAAAAGTTAGCTGAGGAGATACCAAAGGATTGAGCAAGCTGTGTTATCCATTTTTTAAGGCTTTTAGGTTACTTGTAGGGTTTTAATATGGTTGATGTGGTTTTAATCAATACTTTAATCAAAGACAACTACATTAGTCTAATCTAACACTAATATCAAAGCCAGGTTAATATATTATTTCATGTCTTTCAAGTATGTGTGCTTACACAGAGTAAGCTTGAAAAGCATATGTGTATACAGGGGAGTAGAGGTGCCTACAGTACATACATTATATACATATGGCCATATGCAAACCCAAAAGAAAGTACAGAAAGGCTGGCTTAATCCAAATTATGAACATTATAATTTTTGTAATCTGGATTAAAAAATATATATATCAGCCACTCTGTCTCTGCTTTCATTCCTTCAAGATATTCTGCAAAAACGGTTTTATAACCCCATGCTTTCATTGCACAGACTACAGATCTAAGCAGTCAAATTTATAACAAAAACATAACACAACGTGAAAAAGAACATTGTTTCTGAAAGTGCTTTCATTACAAATTCTCTAATATAACCAGCAATTTTTTAGGGCTTGCTGCTCAGGATAGAAAGCTGTTCTTTGCAACCCCATCTGATGGGCACTCACCCCCTGCAACAGATTCCAAACACTTGTCCACATGCACATTGCATGGCAAATCCCATCAGATGAGGCAGTTTAGTTTTAATGATAGCTCAGGTGCAAACGAGCGCCTTCCCCCAGAACAGTGGTTATTATAATGAGCTCTGAAACTAAACATTCTGTCTTCTCTCTGTTCAATAGCTCCCTCATACTTGCTTGAAGATGAAGCTATTTAAGTGGACTTTGGGTGCACTGCTGCTCCTCCTGTTGTCTATCGGACACTGTAGAGGCCGCTCCAAGCTCAGCAGAGCATCCCAACGGAGACACCCCCGATCAGCGGGCAGCGGAGAGGAAGGCAAGAAATGTGGTTACACCTTCTTGGTCCCAGAACAAAAAATTACGGGGCCCATCTGTGTGAACACCAACGGACCAGCTACTGGTAACAGAAAAGACGAAGTCACAAGGATGGACATAGAAAACCTGAAGGATGTACTGTCCAAGCAGAAGCGGGAGATTGACATACTGCAACTGGTGGTGGATGTGGATGGAAACATAGTCAACGAAGTGAAATTACTGAGGAAAGAGAGCCGTAATATGAACTCACGGGTCACTCAACTCTACATGCAGCTCTTGCATGAGATAATTCGAAAGCGTGATAACTCCCTGGAGCTCTCCCAGCTGGAAAACAAAGTCCTTAACGTTACCACAGAAATGCTGAAGATGGCAACAAAGTACAAGGAGCTGGAGGTGAAGTACGCCGCGCTGACCGACCTGGTGAACAACCAGTCGGTGACCATTGCCCTGCTGGAGGAGCAGTGCCTGCGGCTCTTCTCCCGGCAGGACGGCCACGGCGCGCCGCCGCCGGCCGCCCCCCGAGCCCGCCACGGCGCCCACGAAGAGCCCTTTCCGAGTGCCCCCGCTAGCCCTCATTAACGAAGGTGAGTTATGCGTCGCTGCCGCTAACGCGAGCCGAAACTCCTGTGTTTTAGAGCAGTGCAGCCAGAACAACGATTAAGCACCCAGCACAGCTCGCCCTTTCCCCAACTATCATTTTCCTCCCCTAGTCCCCCAAAGAAAGCATTAGACTTAAGCTTCCCAAAGAGTCTCATTCTTACACTATCATTGTATGGGATTTGTTTGAGGAAATAGTTGATGCTGAAAAAATATCAGTCTGAAGTACTTAACTTTCACTCACAAGTCTTGTTTTATAATATAAGAATTTCAGCAGCTGAGTTGGAGTTATGGGAATGAACACTGTTTCCACCTATGCTCTTTAACACCATTCCTTTGAGGATGCTATTAGCTACATGGTATGGTGATCGGCAACAGGGAATGCAAAACCAGCTAGTGTGCATTAAATAACTGAAATAATCTTAAATAGTTGCCCTTAATAGCTATACAGGTACATTTGCCAGAAGTAATTCCTGTTGTAATTGTAATATTACTGTAAATGGTTTTAAAAGAGAGGCCTATACCCAGCAACACCATGACAACTGATACAAGATTTGTTATTTGATTTTTTATTGTTTTGTTGAAATACTCGAGAGCAAATCCAAGTATATGCACCCAAATGTGAAAATATAAAATGAGCAGCCACATTCTCAGTAATTTGATATTAGCAGGGAAAGTTAATACCATAAATAATACGAAATATGAAGATACACTCAGACAACTATCACATTTTCACAAGTTACACTTCTCAGGTCACTGCAGATTCATTTTGCTCTAGAAACAAAACTATCAAGGAGGAAAAAAATTCTTTCCAAATTAAACTCCCTGAGAGAATCCCTGAGCACTTTCATCATTCGCAAGTTCGACAGAATTATAGCATGCTTTTCTGAATCCTTAGATTCATCATATTTTCCTTATAATTTTCAAGTAACCATCTCTTCTCCTGCTTTTGTTAGGTTACACAGCAAATGCCTTTTATTTTTTTTAACTGCTTTTAGTCCCAGTCGGAAGACACAGTTGAGACTCCTCTGCAACACTCCAAGTAAATATCCGCTGATGTAAAGAGCAATTATTTTTATTCAGCAGCTGTGAAAAATTCAGGCATGAGCCCAACTAAAATGCCAGATGTCATGAGAATTTCAGTCATAGATCATGACAAAAGCAAATTGCTAAAAGCATTACGTTAACGTCTGTCAGATAGCCAAAGTATGATTCTGAACAATAATTCAGAGTTTTGTTTAAAATGCATGTTTTCCTCTCCTGGGATGTGTTTGTTGCATACACAGTGAAGCAACACCACTAAGCATCTTCCTCTAAAGCACCCACCACAGCCTTCGCTCCCTCTTCCCACTGCTTAAAAGTTCTGATTTTGCATCCGTATTTGCAAGGAAACACAAAGAAATCACAGGCAATTTTAAGAATATTCAACTTCATTAGTATTTAAGTCCCCCAATCGGTAGTTTAAGTGTTCCTTGCAGTGCCCTGAGGAAATGAGGGTTGGGAATTACCGCTGCTGGCAGAGCATCAATCATTAAAAACAAACACAATTTATCATAAAGCGCAAGGCAATGTCCAGTTATCTCCAAGGTTTGAGATTAAGGTAAACAACAGAAGCAAAATAGTTTGTGTGAATGAAAAATGAAATTTCCAGTTGAAACATAAGGACTATTTATAATTTATAAATATGTCAAATAAGACAAGGGAAAATCAAACAGCCCCTATTAGAAGTAGGATAGTCAAAGACTTGAGTATGAGAGAACAAAAAACTAGATCAGCAATTCAGGGTATTTCTCCTACTGCTTCTGAAGAAGTTTCACCTTATGAATACTTGCACATTCAGAAGTTTACAAAAGGGTTAACCTGCATCTTAGAAGTGCGGGTTGGAAGTAAAATTCAAAATGGGGGGGGGGGAGGGACCTCTTGTTCTAGGAGACGCATTTTGTATAAATTGCGTAAAAGTAGGAGTTACTCAAAGCTGAGAAAAAGCATTGCTGTGAATGGGCAACCACAATCACTGGAACAGCAGCAAACGTACCCAAGCCCAATTCCCACTCTACTGCAAGCTGTAACTACTGTAGGGAGAAGGGGATACTAGAAAATTCCCCAGGAAATCCACTCTGCAGCATTCCAATAATGATGCGTTTACACACTACTCTCAGCAGAGCCTCACAAAGATCATGCACCTCACTGCATTTTGAATAGGAAAATTACAGATGTTACACCATGCTTTTTAATTAGAGTGCCCATGTACCCCAATGTCAGCATTTCCCATGCACAAGAATTAAAAGTGCATTTGTTCTTATGCCCTGAACTTAAAACCATTACAGGCAGCAAAGAATTTCCTTTTAAAATTGTTTTTATGGCTATAGAATAAGGAAGCCCAACAAACCCCAACTTATCTTAAGCACAGACAAACTGAGAGTCAAAAAACAGACAGGTTACATCCTGTGGCCTTAATGCGAGCTGAATTTTAGTAGTGACCTAAGTTAGTTACATAAACGGACTAGTACGATTTTGTCTGCCTCAAAAACTACTTAAAAATCACTCCAAAATCTGCTCGGGTCTCATGGTGAAGCAAGGCTGCAATTCCTCTTCCAGCTAACAGCATATGAAATAGTACAGAGCACATCTATTGAGCCAATCTCAGTATTCAACTCGTTCTTTTTAAAAAAAGAAAAAAAAAAAAAAAAAACCACACACACACACATTTTCCACTCTCACTTCTTCTAATGTCATTATTGCTTTATGTTTTTACAATATTTAGTTACGCAAATCCAAATTTGCTTTGGGTAGTATAAGAGAAGGGAATGAGACAGAACTAAGCCCAAACTTAGACCAAAATCTCCCTAGGATTTCCTATTAGGTGCAACTGGCATTTACCACCTCAAATCTACAGCCTAAAAAACCCTGCAAGTATCAATTTGATCTTCTCATTGAGCCTCAGGGTAGGGTGAGGGCCACTTTCACTCAACCTCTGCTTTAATTAAAGCAAAGCTCACAGGTGGCATTTTGGTTCCCTGCACATCACCTTTGCCTGTGACAGTTCTCCACACTTTCAAGTAGGTTTGAGAAAAATTAGCCTTTAAATTATGTTAGGCATCAGGGAATTATTTTCAGATTTAGTGAATTTGGATTTTCCAATCCACTTGGGGCACCCCTCTCTAATAAGTAATGAAGAGCAGGTGTTGTTCTGGTGGCCAAGTAACTGCTCTCTCATCAGCTGCTTAAACCCAGCAGAAGTCATGACAGCTAGCATAAAATCTGCTATAAAAGAAAAATAAGTGTGAAATGCTGACAGAGCAAAGCAAAGATCTCAGAAGCACATAAGCTGCACGCTGCTTAGAGAAGGACTAGATGCTCTTGTGTAAATAGGGGGGCAAGTGGCAAAGCCAGTGTTCCCATGGCCTAAAGCAGCGTTGTCCTTCCCAAGTGGAAGCGAGCGAGCCCTGGGAGCTGCCCAGGGCCTTCTCCATGGCCTCTCCACATGTAGCATACCAGGGCAGCACAGGAAACTTATAAAAATCCTCTGTATGGTTAACTGGCTGAGCCAGGAAATGGGAAAGTGCCTGGAGGCAAAGAAATTAAGCAGTATATCATCATCTTATTTCTCTAAATTCTCTTATCAATATATTTGACAGTAAATATTTCCTAGAGAAACTACCTAAAAACTGTATGTATTCAGACGTGTGGAGGATTGGCTTTTTTTTCATTATCATTTTAAACTTCAGCAAGTTTCAAAAGGATGCACTAGGGTCATGAAGCACATTCACAGCAAACCATTTTAAGTTGCACAGATGAAAAACCAGTGAGAATTGCAAGGCACTTTTTGAATACCAAAAGCTGGAGCAGGCACTTTTGAACAGGGTACATGAGGCTAAAACCCCAGGTGATACATGAAGAGTTATTAGCTGTTCAGCAAACCAACGTGTTCGTAAAACGCAGAGGATACAGGGACACACATTTTTAATGTGTGGGTATGCAATTCATCTGAGACCATAACTTTATATTGTTTTCCATGGTAGTTTTAACCTTATTAGTGGCTTCTCATTACCTCCAAGTCTTTCCCTGACACACAGAATATTCCTCACCACTTTGTGTACTGCGTAGCCAAGCCTGACAGCTCACAGTGCCTCTTTTCAAAAAGGTCCATTCAAAGACTGTCAACAAGCCAAAGAAGCTGGGTACTCCAACAGCGGGATTTATATGATCAAACCTGAAAATAGCAATGAACCGATGCAGTTATGGTGCGAGAACAGCTTGGACCCTGGAGGATGGGCAGTTATTCAGAAGAGAACAGATGGATCTGTCAACTTTTTCAGGAACTGGGACAGTTACAAGGTAAATTTTGGAATTCAGAAAACCAGCAGCTGTTTTGGTGTGGCAGCAATTATCAACTGTACTCAAGGCAGGGTGGGGAGGACAATATTTCCAGGGTAGTTGTTCACTGCAAATGTGTAAACTGAATCATAAATACTGAAATGTTGGAAGTAAAGGGTTAGTTGCTTAAGTGAGACAATTTAAATGAATTGTACAGAAGATGTAGTCAGCAGGCACTGCAGTCCCTCAGGGGAAAGCGTATTATTCGGACACATTGCTTTCCTTAACTTACTTGGGCATTACAAATACAGAATATCTCAGAGCACAACATGACGGTGCAGAGATGTTACTCTAGATAGTGACTGGGAAGTCATTTATTACAAAGCCCTAATTAAGCATGTGATTTCGGTTAAGACGCTGAGAGCTACAGTGCAGTGCTTGAGAAGCAAAACCGTCTCCCCTAAGCAGCCTCCACAAGTGGAGGAGGTAAACACTTACAGCAACAGTTTTGCAGGATCCGGGCCTCAATGTCAGCTTCTTCGTAATGGACATCACCTCCACCTTTAGAATTCACTGTGAAGTCTTCTCCAGACCCAGGGCTGGTAGAACGCTCCTGCATACATATTCGGAGCTCAGCTCTGCACAGTTCAGCTCTGGAGGCTGAATTACAGTGGCACTCCTCACATGCTCCTAGTTATGTGAATATTTAATTTGCCTATAGGACTTTCCTGACCTTCTGGTTCACAAAATGAGCGGACAGAGCGTTGCAGGCAGCGACTGCACGTTGCTCTGGAGTCATCACACGCCAGGCAGGAAACAGGGAGAAGGCAAAGGGAGGACTGCGCCAGCAGCAACAGGGACAGTCTCTCCTTCCGCCCTTGCCCCATTTGGGCTCTTCGTGGCCCTGCTGCTCGCTCGGCCACCAGCACGGCCGGGAGCCAGCAGAAAGGCAGCACTACCATTTTTGGCAGCAGCGCGATCCCAGATCAGCTCAAGCCCCTAGTGGAACTGCAACCTGAGTCAGGAGCCGGGATGTTTATTTCCTGGGGAGCAGGAGAGAGACTCCCCTGCAGGGGGTTATCACCGCAGCTCCTGCCCAGCTGGAGGAAACTGCAAAGCCCAACAGTTACCACTCACGTTAAGTGATGGAAACACCCTCCCTGGCTGGAGCTCCACACCTTGACAAGCAGTTTTCCTCACTAGGTGTAAAATAACCCTTCACAGTTATACCAAAAGTTCACGATTTGATTTCTAACAAATCTAGTGAAGGCTACAGACAAGTTGACTGATTAAGTTTATAGCGAGCTTAATCAGGTACCATCATTTGGGACACAAAAGGCAACAAAAAGCTGTTTTTTTCGAACACGAGATTGTCAATCTATAAATCTCCTTCCACGCTAAGCCACAACACCTTCCATTTCCTTACTCATATATGTTTACTGATCCCCCCCTAGCCTACTATGCGCAATATTTCTTCAGCTCCTCTCTTTGCTCTGCTTTCCAAAGGAGAGGACATCGCAGAAAACAGACCCTGCTAATTCTGCTGCCTTTACCGATGCTGGTAGTACCTTATACTGCCAGCAGATCAACTCGGTGTGTAGCTATGAGTAGCAGAAAGAAAGCATTTAAACGCATGGAGAAACCATGAAAGACCTCCAGTACCCAAGTG